TAATCCAGATTGGTTGTGTAATTGATCCTCAGTTCCATTCAGTTTGACCAACATTTATTAAATGCCCACTGTGTTCAGACTGTTAGCTCCCTGAAGGCAGGGATCTTTTGCCTTTTTTTTTGTCTTCCCAGCACTTAGTACAGTGCCTGGCACATAGGCATTTATTAAATGCTAGTTGACTGACTAAAGAATACTACATTCAGGGTGCATGCAAGGGTAAGGAAATAAGCATTTCTATAGAGCTTACTGTGTGCCAGGCACTGTACTGAGCACTTTACAAATATTATCTCATTTAATGCTAGGCACCAGCACCTACCACTTAGTGCTGTTGTGAAGTTAACATGAGATGTTTGTAAAGTGCTTTGCAAACCTTAAAGTACCATATGATTGTTGTTTATTATTATATCATTGTCTTTGTTATTCATGGTCCATGCCCTCAAAGAGCTTACAAATAGAGGGGAAAGACACACATTTGAATATCTATAGAATATATAATATTTCAGAAAAAGCTCACCTGAAAGGTAGAGAACAAAATTCTCTGAGAACCAAGAGGGGAGGAAGCTCTTCATTAACACTGGGCTCACAGAAGGCTTCCTGGAGAAAGTGGCATTTGAGTTCACCAGATGAAGAGTCAGAAACTTAGGGCATGGGAGAAAATTCCAAGTTGTTTGGGTCCACGCTTAGCAAAACTGTGAAGATACAAGCTAGGGACGTTTGCATCTCCCACTTTGTCTACCAGCATGCCTTTACTTCCTCCTCTCTTTGTCTGGCATCATCATAGACTTGGAGATGGGAGCCATTGAGTCCAACCCCTTCATTTTACAGATGAGGAAAGTGAGGCACAGTTAAGAGACCTGCCCAAGATCACACTGGTGATACATAGCAGAGTTAGGATTCGAGCCCAGGTTCTCTGGTTTTCTATCTGGTGCTTTTCCCCCTTCTATGTACCACATTGTCCCTTAGGTCCTATCTTGAACTCTGTTCACTGTCAACTAATTCCTGCCGGGGTACTAACTGATAATTATAGTTTTAGTTGCTACCTGCCTATGGTATAGGGTGTTTGAATTTTTTTTTTAGGCAATTGGGGTTAAGTGACTTGCCCATGGTCACACAGCTAGTAAGTGTCAAGTGTTTGGTCTGAGGCCAGATTTGAACTCAGGTCCTCCTGACTTCAGGGCCGGTACTCTATCTACTGCGCCACCTGGCTGCCCCAAGTGTTTGAATTTTCTAAAGGGGATTCCTTACCCCTACCATTTTCCTAGCTTTGATACTTTATCTGACTCTGACCAAAGCATCTGGATGAAGGGGAACCAGCTGGAGAAGGGGTGATCTGTGGGCAATCTTAACCTTCCCACAATTAGGGAAGGAATACCTGAAGATTTAGAGGGCTATCTCTGAAAGGTTTTCCACCTCTGCCAACAGATAATGGTGTACTCAGGTCCCCTTGGGGCACTTGATATACCAAGGTTGGAACAGTAGGCTGGAGTAAGGTTGTGGAGAGCTTTAAATGACAAACAGAGGCATCTATATTTGATTTTAAAGGTAATAGGGAGCCATTAGAGGTTATTGAGCAGGGGATTAACATGGTCAGAATTAGGCTTTGGGAATATCACTTTGGCAGTTTTGCTGTGGATAGATTGGAGTGGAGAAGTACTTGAGACGGGGATGTCCATTAGCAGACTGTTACAGCAGTGAGGAGGGGATGAACTAGAGTGCTTGTTGTGTGGGTAGAGAGAAGGGGTTGCTGTCCAGTTGGTGACACTGACTGGAAGCTGTTCTTTTCCCACTTACTGACAATAGCTTCCATAGTTCTTTTTTCCCTCTGGGATTCCATTCCTTCAAAATTCCTTCAAATGGCTCTGGCTTTGGACTTCGTCATTGGGCACCCTTATGGTATAGGTTAGTGTCAGATCTTATGGTCAAACATCTGCCCTATATATTCCCGAGTGCACCCAAATTAGATTAAAATGTAACTGGGAAATATTTAACAAGGTGATTAAGTGCAGTAGAAGACAGATAATGTTAATATGTGGTTTTCTAAGTCAATATGTATAGTTTAGGGGTCCCATTTCAATTTGATATTGGCAACATTGGCATAGCAATTGAGATCTGACATTTGCTTTGGGTGGTAGGACAAAACGATGTGAAAGGATAGATTCCATCAAAGACACTTAGTAGACTATGTTAACTGTGGACAAGCCCATTCCCAGCTCTGAGCCTCAGTTTCCTCATCTGTAAAATGGAATCAGTAATACCTAAGCCTCAGCAATCTCTTTGTAGACCTTAAAGCCAATCGATATGTTGAGTTGTCGCTTTATAACAACATGATTTTAGCCCTTCCCCACCACCTGCTGAATTTTCTACTCTCTTGCTTTGGCTCCTGGAAGGCTTGAAAGGTGATCACGTCACAGAGCAAGCCTTGGTAACTGGAAAGTTTTTGTATTGTTTTTCTGTGTGTTTTTTTTAATCCTCAGGATCTGTTATTTCATTGATCCAGGGAGCTTTTTGTTGAGGAAACTCCATCTACTAATACAGATTGACAATTTATAGTTTTTCTAAAAATTCATTTTTATTTTATTTTCAGTTCCAAATTTTCTCCCATTCCCCTTCCCCTACTTATTGATAAAGTAAGAGAAATAAAACTGATAACAAAGATGTGTAGACATATAAAACAAATTTCTGCATTAGCCATATTCCAAGAAAAAATATAAGAAAAAGCAATTTATAACCTAAAACTAGAGATATTATAGAATATTGACTGTTGCTGCAATCACTCAATCAAAAAGCATTCATTAAGGACCTACTGTGTGCCAGACACCGTGTTATGCAGAGGGGATACAAAGACAGAAATGAACAGTCCTAGTTTTTAAGGGGCTTCTTTTCTAACAGCTTTGAGGGGAAAGAGAACTAACCATCATTATTTCTGCAAAAGGTTTAACTTTTGTTTCTTTCAGATCTAGTCTCTAGTTGTTTTTTTTCCCCCAAAGCAGGGAGGAGTTAAAGGGACCACTGAGAGGCCACTTCACCTATTCCCTACCCCCACCCAAGAGATAAAAACTGGATCCTTTCTGCTCCTGAAGGTCTCAGGTGCTCAGTGTCTTCTGCTGCCTAGGGGGGATGGGCTCCTTAACTGGCATCTTGGTCCTGCCTTTCTCTTGCTCATCCCCAAATTCTTCTAGCCTCACCCATAGCTTGTTGCTTCTTCCTCTAACATACCTTGATGTGACTTTTTAGAAGGTGGTGTCTTCTTTTCCCATCCCCCCCAGTTTGGAATCATAGAATCAAAAATTTAGAACTGGAAGAGATCTTAGAGACCATCTAGCCCAACCTCCTGATTTTACAGATGAGGAAACTGAGGCTCAGAGAGCCTCACAAGACTTGCCCAGTATCACAGAACGAGTAAGTGTGTAAGGCAAGATTGGAACTCAAGTCTTCTTGACTTCAAATCTAGCTTTCAATTGTATCACTTGGCTGCCTTTGATGATATTATGACTATGAATATGTAGCCTTGGCCCAGGCTCTATCTGTTGCATCTGTTGTCTAAGAATCAGCCTAGCTGAATTCAGAAAGGCTCATTGGTCACCAAGTGATTCATGTTTATTTTTACAGCAGCTAATACAGGTTGTCTTCTGCAACAAAGAAGGACTGTGGTTGAGGGAACTCCACACTGATAGAATCTTTGAAGAGAGGAAACGGTGGTAGATAGAGTACGGAACTTGAAGACCTGGGTTGGAATCCTGCCTCAAATAATTTACCAGTTTTGTGACCCTCTGCAAGTGCCCCTCTGAGCCTCAATTTTCTAATCTGTAGAAGAAGGGCAGCTGGACTAGATGAACTCAGAGGTCCCCATGATGTGTTGAAGGCAGTATGGAAGTTCCCATTCTATGGTTAGAATGGGAAGAGCACTGGATTTGACAGGTCTTCAGGCTCTGGTCTTGCTTTGTGACTTTGGGCAGATTACTTAACTTCTCTGGGCCTTCCAGATCTACACCCTATGCACCAAGGTTTTTGCTTGTACTGGACCTGTGATTAAATTGGGGATAGGGATCTCCCTGTTAATCTGGATGGTCACCTGCACGGTCACTTTATATTGTTAGAGTAGCTTAGTGGGAGAAAGAGAGAAAGGGAGGGGAATTGGGAGGCTAAGTGACTTGCTCAGAGACTCAGCGAGTCTGTCAGAAACAGGAATTGAACTCAGATCATCCTGATTTTAAGACTGCTTGTTCTATCTACTGTGACACAGGCCTTTCATAAATCCAGCATAGATGATCTGTGGGTCTGCCTGACTATTCAACGGATAGTTTTGACTGACTGGACATGGAAGTTTCTTCAAATGGTTTAATTGATTTTTTTTTTCCTTATGATTTGTCTGAATCCACCAGATCTGGGATTGTGTAAACCTTTGTGTTGGGGCTAACTTTAAGGAGAGGTCTTATTTTTGCAAGCGCAGGAAGCTACTTTTGCCTCTGAAAGAAACAAGGTCCAAGAGGACTAGCTAGGAAGGCCCTCCTTCTTCCCATCTTCTCTCCAGCCCATGCCTGCTGACCAAGGGATTTTCTTGTTCTTGGAGAGACCACTCATTAATCTGAGAGTAGCCCTTCTGGCACTCCAGCCTGTTACACTGTCGCCATCTTGGGCCAGTTCTCTGTTAGGGCCTTGAGCAAAGGTAGAGAATTTGGAATTCACTGAATGTGTTTGGGAGATAGGAAATAGACCAGTCTGGGTGGGGCAGCAAGTCCATGGATTGGCGCCATGCTGCAGAGGACCTTGACTGCCAAGTTAAGGAGTTTAGATTTTATCGTGTAGTCAATGGGGAGTAACTGAAGGTTTTTGAATAGAGTAATGAGAAGATAAAAGATCTTCCCCACTCTCTCCCTCATTCTTCTCTCTCCTAAAAGTTGGTCTCCTTATTGTAGAGGATTTTCTCCTGCCTTACCTTATGTTGTATCCTATGTAGTGTTGAAACAACAGCTTACTCATTTGTCTTCTGTCTTTCCCAGGGACTTACCAGGGTCAGTGGGTTGGTGGAATGCGCCAAGGCTATGGCGTCCGGCAGAGCGTCCCGTACGGCATGGCTGCGGTCATCAGGTCACCCCTGAGGACGTCCATCAACTCGCTGAGGAGTGAGCACACCAATGGCACAGCACTGCATCCAGATGCCTCATCTGCTGTGGCCGGCAGCCCTGCGGTGTCCCGGGGGGGCTTTGTCCTTGTGGCTCATAGCGATGCCGAGATCCTCAAGAGCAAGAAGAAGGGGCTTTTCCGGCGGTCCCTACTGAGTGGCTTGAAGCTGCGGAAGTCGGAATCTAAGAGTAGCCTGGCCAGCCAGAGGAGCAAGCAGAGTTCCTTCCGCAGCGAGGCTGGAATGAGCACGGTCAGCTCCACTGCCAGTGACATCAACTCCACCATCAGCCTTGGTGAGGGGGAGGCGGAGCTGTCTGTCATTGAGGATGACATCGATGCCACCACAACTGAGACCTATGTGGGGGAGTGGAAGAATGACAAGCGGTCTGGCTTTGGGCTGAGCCAGCGCTCAGATGGACTCAAGTACGAGGGGGAGTGGGCCAGCAATAAACGTCATGGCTATGGGTGCATGACCTTCCCGGATGGTACGAAGGAGGAGGGGAAATATAAGCAGAATATTCTGGTGAGCGGAAAACGCAAGAACCTGATTCCACTGAGGGCCAGCAAGATCCGGGAGAAAGTTGACCGCGCCGTCGAGGCTGCTGAACGAGCGGCCACTATCGCCAAGCAGAAAGCGGAGATTGCAGCTTCCAGGTAAGTGTGGTTTGGCCGTTGGGGGCTGGGGATCGGGTGGGGAGTGAGGCGTGGAGGATGGTGGTTGCAGAGAAACCTCCCAAAGCCTTTGGGAGATGGTTATCTCATGCCACCCGGCATGGTTAATACCTCCCCTGGGGAAGCCCGAGGAACAGAGGTCTGCTTGTTCTTGTGGATCCTGAAATTGTGTTTAGAGGTCTGAACAGCAGTGTATCCAGGACAAGAAGAGTATCCCTGGCCCTTCCTTCCTCCATCAAGGGTAAGTATATTCTGGTTGCCTAAACAGGGATGTCTCTTGGTTACGATTTTGTGATTTCCACTGAATCTTGATCCTTGAAAAAAGGGCCAAACAGTAGTTATTAGCAGAACATGCCATATGGAGGATAAGTGATTTCAGAGGGAAACAAAACAAAGAAAAGTCATCCAAACAAACAAGGCTCCAATCTAATTAAGTGCTAAGGTATGGGATCTAAAGGAGAGGTGCTGTCAGAGTTCAGAGAAGGAAATGATCACTGTGGGCCAGCCAGATTCGTCAAAGAAGGCTCCATGGCAGACCTCAGGTAGGACTTGACAATCAATAGACATTTATTAAAGGCTTTCACTGTGCTAAGCATTGAGGATACAAAGAAAGGCAAAAAACAGTCCCTGCCCTCAAGGAGCTTCCATTCTAATGGAGATACAGCCTATATTGGAAGATAGATAAGGCTAGACATAAGGGTAGAGAGAGGGCACTCTAGGATGGGGCTTAGTGTGAAGCAAAGACAGGGAGGTGGGAATGAACAGTGTGTCCAAGGAGAAATGAGGAGGTTGACCTGGCTGTAAGAGGAAGGTGAGTGCTGGAGAGCAGTGAAGTGAGAGGTAGAGTAGGTGGAGTGGGGCTAGATTGTGGAGGCCCTTGAAAGACCTGCAAAGGAATCTGGACTTTATTTTGTAGAGAGCTGATTTTTCAGAGAAGTTTATTGTGGCAGCCTATGTAATTGGTATGGGAAGGGGAAATATGGAAGACAAGAAGAGTCCCTAGAAAGTTGTAGTATTCTTGATCTGTTTTTTTTTTTTTGCAACATGGCTAACGTGGAAATATATTTTGCATGACTGTACATGTATAATCTATATCAAATTGCTTTTCTCCTCAAGGAGGGGAGGGGAAGGAGGGAAAGAACTTGGAACTCAGAATTTCAAAAAAAAATGAATGTTAAAAATTGTTTTTACATGTAATTGGAAAAAATATAATTTTTTTTAAAAAGAAAGCTGTAATATTCATCATCCACATAGGAGGGGATGAAGAGTTGGTTAATGTTTCTATATGACTATGTTGACCAAAGTAACAAAAACTTCTATATAGTAAAGAGTATGAGGTTTGGTTATTGAGTCAGAAAGAAAGGTGAAACATCTCAGAAAGGATAGTAGAGTGTCTTTCAGCAGCTGTAAGGGACTGGGGTCTCTAAAAGAAAGCCTTCTGAATCAGGGGAGGGGAAATGACATAGTTCTTATGGAAACAATTGGATGTAAATTTTATTTTTCATAATACCCAGCTAAACTGTTGATTAGAAATGAGGTGGAAACCGGAATTTAGAGGAAAACCAAAATAGGTAAAGATTTAGCTGGCAGAGAAACTGATAATTAGGGGAGAAAAGATACCTTGAAAGGATTCCACAAATAACGTGATTTTATCTTCATCCCACCGTATTGGGAGCATTGAGTAGAATAGCTGTGCCATGTGAATTGCTCTTTTCCTCTCTTCTTCTTTTTGCTCAGTCCATAGTTGAATTTCCTTAAGTTAAATGCACTATGGTGAGTGAATTCTTGGAAGTTAAATGTGGCATTTCCCTATGTGTCTGTAGTGGACCCTTCCCTTGAAGGCTCTGACTCACCAGGGCCATTGACCCTCCCACCATGGGCCCTAGCTTCATGGTCAGGTAAGTCTTAAATGAATAAAATGAATCCTTCTGGAATGATGGTGATCACTGTGCTTCTGGCTTCTGGCTGAGCCAACCTAGGGGAAAGACACAGTGGAAAGTAACCCTATGTTCTACTCAATCCCCAAGTGCCAAGGGCAAAAATATATGTATATATTATATATGTCCACACACATACATATGTGTGTGTGTATGTATATTCGTATGTATTTTCCTTAAGCTCTGAGCCAGACACTGGGGATTCAAAAAAGGTAAAAACAATCTCCAGTCTCAAGGAGGTCATATAGGCTAGAATGTCAGGAAGACCTGAGTTCAAATGTTGCCTCAGACAACTCTCTGTATGATCCTGGGCAAGTCCTTTAATTTTTCTCATCCTCAATTTCCTCATCTGTAAAATGGGGATAATAATAACACCCACCTCTCAGGGCTATTGTGAGAATCAACTGAAATAACATATGTATAGCACTTTGCAAATATTCACAAAGCACTAACTATTATTATTAGGAGAAAACATGAAAATAACTAGTCTGAGAAGAGAGGGAACTAGCATCTGGGGAGACTTCCTCCAGAATGGGGGATTTGATCTGAGTCTTGAAAGCTGGGAACCTAGGAATTAGAGATGGTGGAGGGGGGGCAGCCAGTGCAAAGGGATGATGGGAAAGGGAGTGTCCTGAATAGTCACGTTAGTAGATAAGTTGTTTTTTTATTCAGTCATTTTTCAGTCATGTCTGTCTCTTTGTAATTACATTTGGGTTTTTCTTGATGGAGATAATGCAGTGGTTTGCCATTTCCTTCTCCAGCTCATTTTGTAGATAAGGAAACTGAAATAAACAGGGTTAAATGACTTGCTTAGAGTCACAGAACTAGGAAGTGTCTGAGACCATATTTGAATTCAAGAAGATGAGCCTTCCTGACTCCAGGTCTGTTGTTTTATCCACTGTTCCATCTAGCTGCCTTAGTCAATAGGAGGAAAGTATAAAAAGATTCTTAAAGGTAGGAAGGGGCCAGGTTGTGAAGTGTTTTAAAAGCCCAACAGAGGATCTTATGTTTGATCTCGGAGCCACTGGAGTTTACTGAATGTGTGTGGGGTGAGAGTGGGGTGGTGGGGTGAGGGTGCCAATATAGTCAGTCCTTTGATTTAGAAAAATCACTTTGACATCTGAGTGCAGAATGGATTGGATTGGGGAGAGCCTTGAAGCAGGGAGAATAACTAGAAGGCTCTAGCAATAGTTCATTTGGGAGGTGCCAAAGCTCTGAGTTAGGGCAGCAGTAATGTCAGAGACGAAAAGGAGACATATAAAAGAGAGATCAGGAAGGTTAGAATGGACAAGATTTGACAATGGAGTAGATGTGGGACATGAGTGAGAGTGAGTAGTTGAGGTTTTGAACCATGAATGGGAAGATGGTAGTGCCCTCAACCATAATAGGGAAGTTCAGAAGAGGAGGAGACTTGGGGAGAAAAAGAATGAGAGATCTATCTTAGACAAGTTGAGTTTGAAACCGCTATAAGATTATCTGTTACAATTGGAGGTGTTTAGCTTGGAGAAGATTCGGGGGCGGGGGGGTGGGGTGTGTTGAGAGCTAGATTGTGTTTTAAGGGATGTTGTAAGTAAGGGCAAGCCTTGTTGGCCCCTAGGAGCAGGACTGGGAACAATGGAAGCTAAGGAGTTGTAGAGGGACAGATATTAGCTAATATAAGAGAACTCTTCCCAACAGGTAGAGCCATTCGCCTAAGGAAGGGGCCATCCAAAGAGAGAGTGAGTTCCCTGTCTCTGGTGGCTTTGGAGGGTGCCTGGCTGAGGAAATTTGGGTCCAGTTTGGACCAAATGCCCTCTGAGGTTGTTTCTAGCTCTGAGATTCAGCGATTCTCTGGCTATTATTGACTCCAGTTTTTCTGACGAGATAAGAGGGTTTACAATCATAGGATTCAGAGCTAGGAGGGCCCTTAGAACATAGATTTTTTTAAGTTGGAAAGAACCTGAGGCATCATCCTTTTTCACATGAGCAGATTGTGACCCAGAGAGGAAAAGGCCCTTGCTTCCCAGAAGGCATCTGAGGACACTCCTCAGCCCCAGGGACAAGCGTGTTCGTTAGAGGGGGCTCCAAAGGAGGGCCACCCAATGGGATGCTGGAGTCCTTTGCATAGCATCTGTGGTCTTGCCCCTGGTCCACCTCTCTGGAGGCCTGAAGCCCCCAGGAGAGGATGAGAATTTAATGCCTTCTCTTTTCTTAGGAACAGAAAAAGAGGCCTCACTTATCCTGAGCCTGCCTCACTTTTACATTGGGCACAAAGGGGCAGTGCCTTCAGGGAACATAAACACCCTGGTGGGACCTCTGAGGCTCAGTCGGACCCTGCCTCAGACATTTCCTTCCTCTGTGATCCTGGACCAGTCACTTCTCTCTCAGCCTCAGTTTCCTCATCTGTAAAATGAAGATCATAATAGCACCTCAAAGGGTTGTTGTGAGGATCCAAAAAGCTAAAGGTGTAAAGTGTTTTGCAAACCTTAGAGGACTTAGGATCATTGGATTCAGAGAAATAAGGGATCTAAGAACATAGATTTTTTTTTTAAGTTGGATAGGAACTGAGGCATCACCAGTTTTAACCCTCTTCTTTTCCACATGAACAGATTGTTAACCAGAGAGGGAAAGATACTTGCTAGCATCATATTAGTCATTATTCCTCAGACCAGGCAGGTGAGGTCAAGGGTACAAATAAACAAGATTTTCTAGGGCACCTTCTCTACACAGCTCCCCACATTCTGCAAAGTTACAAACAGACACATCCAAAACAGAATTCATCATTTTTCTCCCTAAACCCTCTCCTCCTCCTCCCCCCTTCCCTGTTCCTGTAGAGGGCAACACCATCTTCCCGGTCCCTCGGGCTCACAACCTAGGAGTCATCCTGGATCCCTGACTATCTCTTACCCCATGTCCAAGCTGTTGCCAAGGCCTGTTGGTTTTACCTTTGCATTATCTCTCAATCATGTCCCCTTCTGTCCCCCCCCTCCCCCCAGTGCAGACCCTTATCACCTCACGCCTGGACTGCTGCAATTGCTGCTGGTGGGTTCACCTGCCTCAAGTCTC